ATGTGATAAAGCTCTGATTATAGATCTAGTAGAGTGCTGTATGAATGGGTAAATGAGGACACAGATTGTGTAGTAAAGCGTTTTGAGTGTCTTGATAAGATAGAAAGGTGATATATAAGTACAGTCCGTTTACCTTTTACTTCTGCTGAACTTTATTATTCAATCTGCTTTAGAAACAGCTTTTGTAGCAAATGATGACTACAACAATCTGCTGATTTGGTCTATTTGACTTGTTTTTTTGTTTTTTTTGTCTCTTAACTGATGCTAAATAATCCCATCCCTCCTTATCAGACATGTACTACAGGCCTGAAATATGATCCTGAGTTTATAGTAACAAACAAAGTGAAGTGGATGAGAAAGAAAAATATTTTTATCCCATCCTTCTGTCTGGATTGAAACTGACAGCAAAATAATTGCATGAATTTTGACTTTTAGTCATTTACACAATATGTATTGACTTGGGTTTCAAAATCAACAGTAAAATAACTGGAAATGATTTGTTATTACCTCTGGGAGTGAGCAGGTTAAAAACTTTCTGGAGAACAGGAGTTTCTACAAATGCAGCAGGAGGGCAGCTCATACCCAGAGAGCTGTCTTTGTTGTCTACGTCAAACATGATGGCATCAAACAAGCGGCCGCCTACAGGGACAGAGTCAACTCAGCCACATCTTGGTTTGGTTAAATATGAAACGTACAGCCTTATTTTTACCTACCGTTCCCATACAAACCTTCTTTCTCTAGAGTACAGATGTGTTCCAGACCATCTCCAAGAGTAATGGCCAGACGATCATCTGGTTTCAATCCGAACCACTCCTTTGCCACCTCCAGCACAGCAGGGTCTAGTTCTACAACCTCAATGTTTATATTGGGCACAAAGTCCCGCAGAAACTGAGGTAGGCCTCCTCCACCAAGCCCCACCAGGAGCACTGATACAGGGACATCTAACAGAGAAGTCAGGTATAAGCACGTGTAAAGATGAGCTATATTACGTTAGAAAGCTCTGGATGCACTTGTAGTGCAGTCTGCACAAAATCTCAACAAACCTTTGTTCTCCGGCATCCCCACCCCAAGCACAGCAAGACCGGCCACCATGACCTCATGATGGGCGCAGCAGAGGAAACCACTGTCCACGGACAGAGAGGCTAAAGAAGTAAAGGCCTTGTTCTTCTTTTTGTTCTTCTTCTTGTGACTTGATGCTGCAGAGACAGATTCATTTACTCCACTTATTTGCATTTTATATTTGATATTATTGAGTTAAGATGAGTTAATGATTCTCTCAGTATACTAAAGCATCTATACAACATTGATGGTCGTCCATGAAGTATTGCATAAAACTTTTAAACAGTTACTAACATTTGCAGGGTGTATGATTACTGTGAACACTTGGGACGTTTTATTTCTTCACCTAGACATTTTACTTATCCTTTAAGCCTAAACTTAATTGCATAAAAAGTTATGTATCATAGCTTACTGTGCTTGGAATCACTTGCAAAATCATGAAGAGGTGTTTCTTGCTAAAGAAATTTAGAAAAACTTTAAATGTCTGGAACTAAATGCATGTAAGAGCAAATATTAAAAACTCATCAAGACTTTTTGTCCTGTGAAAATGACTTTTTCAGATGTTTATACTGAGTTTTTAAATCAGCATTATTCATGTTTCAAACATTTCATAATCAAATAAACAGATTTCATTTCATAAAGAAATCACTTTTTTTTAAAGGCTTATCAGAATGTGCAAGTACTTTATCAGAGCTGGTTAGTTGTTCCTAAATGGTGCACATGCAGAAAACCATCAGACATTTTTCAGGTCCATATGAACTTTATAGAAACCAGTCTTGGACCATTCTGAAAGATGATTTCAGGCCAGAGATCTCTGGAAAAGATGGTCTTTCTCATGATTCTATTGTGTTTGACATTTAATGTTCTAATGCTGTCACTTCTGTAGCTCATACATTATGAGACTATATTCATACTTATTTAATGTCTATGTAGTTTGAGTTTTCAAGAGATATGTCATAAATCAGACAATAAGGACTGTAAGCCATCAGCGTATCACTTGTGCTCATCCAATCGTAGACGAGAGATAACCTCAAGGTGGAGGTGGGACTGAATCAAGGATCAGCTCTGAGCCCCTCCTTGTTGTTGAACAGATGAGGTCAGGCAGGAATCTATGGACTATGATGTTTGCAGATGATATTGTGATCAGATGATATTGTAAGAACAGGAAACAGGTGGAAGAGAACTTGGAGAGGTGGCAGTTTGCACTTGAAAGAAGAGGAATGAAAGTCAGCCTCATAAAAATAGAGTACATATGTGTCAATGGGAGGGAGGCAGGTGGAACAGTGAGGCTACAAGGAGCAGAGGTCACAACTTTGCAGGACTTCAAGTATTTAGAAATGACAGTCCTTTGAAAATGGGGAGTGTGGTAAAAAGTCTAAGAGAATCCAGGTAGGATGGAGAGGGTGGAGAAAAGTTTCAGGAGTGATTTGTGACTAAAGGGTGACAGCGAAGGTCAAAGGAAAAGTTTACAAGACAGTGATGAGACCAGCTATGTTGTATGGAACTAAAAGAGGTAGCTGAACTGAAGAAGTTGAGGTTCTCCCTAGGAGTGACATGGATGAATAAGATTGAGAATGAGATCATCAGAGATACAGCATATGTTGATGAACTGGGGCATGAAGTTCAAGAGACTGAGATGGTTTGGACATGTCCAGAGGAGGGGCAGTGGGTATATTGGTAGAAGGATGTTAGAAATGGAGCTGCCAGGAAAAAGACAAAGAGGAAGATATATGGATGCAGTTAGAGAGGACATGGAGGTAGTTGGAGTGGACAGAGTGAGATGGAGGAGGATGACTCACTGTGGCGACCCCTGAAGAGGGAACAGCAGAAAGAAGAAAAAGAAGATTCCAGAGGGATGTCATGCTGCACTTCCAGGTTTCTGTAGTCTGGAACAGACTAACTCTTTTTTTTTTCAGCATCCACAACAGATTTCATAAATTTTAGCAGAAACCTCAAGTTGGTTATAATTTCCAACTTTGTCACTAAATCACATTAAATTGTATTTCCTTCTTCAAAAAAGATGTAATGTTTAAAAAATTACAATTTTGTGTTCTTGTTTGTTTGAATAATTAAAGTTATTTTAGCAGGATTGTGAGAAAATATTTTACAAAATAGTAAAAACTAAGAAAAGGAAAAAAGAAATACCAGCGTTTGATGAGATGAGTCGGCTCTCCGACTGCACAAGGGCAATGTTAGACAGGAACACAAGTCTGCGATACAGTTGTCCATCTTCTCCTCGAACATTCTCCACACAATATTCCCCACTGAGCTGACTCACACCTCTGCTGATCTCCTCCCGCCAACCAAGATCACCTCCCACTGACAGAAACGGTACCTGCACAAAAATAATCAGAGCCTAAACCGATCCACCAGTGTGTGTATTTTGGTGCCAAGCTCGCGTTGTATAGTTTTAAAAATCAGTTAAATAAAATATATAATTACTATATGTATGTTTACCTGCTGGTTGGTTGGCATACCAGGTGGAGCCAAGTCCATCACCACAGGTGAGAGTTCTGATTGGACAGCTTGCATGTCTGCATACTCCTGATTTCTATGCATTAAAGCAATAACCAGGCGTCGAAAGTTAGCACTGGCTGCCAGCTGCCTCCTACCCTCACTGGAGCTGTAGAGCCAGGCTGTTTCACTCCCTCGAGGCACTGACAAGACAAGCAAAGAGAATAAGATCAGCAAATAATCACCAACTAATGCCAAAACACAACTTATACGATTGACAAAACTGAAACGCTCACCAATAAATATGGCAAACTGATTGGGTCTTGGCACCTTAGCTGCAGGTGGATTGTCTTGCACTGTAAGAGTGTATCTGGGAAGCCCTGTCTTGGCATGGCAGAGAGTTAGTGAAAGGTTTGAGTCAGGGTCAGTGCTTGTGCGGAGCCTCTTCCTCAATACAGAATAACCCTGACATTCCCTCACTGACGACAACAGTTCGGAAACTTGTGCGTACCGGATCGGTGCTCCGTCATCTCCAATACACATCTCAAGAATGGGCGAGGGCATCGGCTGACGGAACTTGGTGCAGACCAAGACAAAGACAGGCAGCGCAAAGGAGTCTTCTTTTTCAGCACCTCTTTCCTCCTGCAGGCAGTGGAGCCTCGCCGCCCACCCGAGTTGAACAAAGTGCTGTACAGCTAAGTTAATCACGTGCTCCTGAGCCAGCGTCACACAGATATACCTCCCTCCAACACTGAGCACACGGCTCACCTGCAAACACAGGAGGTGCAGTGAGAAATGTACAAACATGCGTACCACTGATATAATGTTAGTCACTTCAGTGCATTTCTCACTTCAGTGAGCATGTTCTTGGCCAATGCTCCTTCCTCTTCTGATGCCATAGCATCAAGGGTGCCCTTGTCCAGAGCAGCCTGGTAGCTGGCATCCTCGTATGATGTTTGAGTGGCATCCACTTGGTGGAAGGTCAGACCAGGTCTACGCTCAGCATTTCTCTGGTTCATGTGGGTCACCACTGTCTCACTAACGTCTATATTTGTGAGATGTTTATAGCCAACATCATACAGCTGTTCACTCAGCTCAGAGTTACCACAACCAACCACCAGCACCTAAAAACACACAACGTACAAGGATTAGCAGTTCATGCGCATATTACCAGACCGTGACAATAAAAAATGATGATGTAATGAAACACGTGGTGTCGCCTTTCCCACGTTACCTTATCTGTCAATTTGATGTATTTGTGCAGCACACCGCACAGTTTGTTGTAGTCTCCATACCACTCAAAAGCCCTCTCTCCACGTTTCTTAAAGAACCTTTCCCAGTAGTCCGCGGAGCTGAATTCCTTGGCGGTGCGAGGTAACAGGGTCATTTTTTTAAAGTTGCGACGACTTTATTTCTACTTTTTTTGGCACTGTTTTTACTCCACATGGCACTTCATACTCGCATTTCCACCCGGACACATTTTCTGCCTATACCGTTCGGTGATTTCCGGTAGGCGGAGCTACGTATCTAAATCCTGCGCGCTGATTCGCTGAGACGCTGCCGCCAACAGGAAGCACACGGTCCGGTTCTGTTAGTCCTCCGGGTGGTTTTCGTCATGGCTTTACCTGCTGGAAGAACTGTGGTGTTTGTGACTGGAAACGCAAAGAAACTCGAAGAAGTAAGACTTATGCGTCTTATGTGTTGTATATACTTTATGCTAGATTGTTTTATACAGCTTGTAGCGTTTCACCCCACAATTATTAACGTCCTTTTGCCTTTCTATGTTGTACATAACAATGAATAAGCTTGCTGGACTATTTAATAAATGTTTTCTTTGTGCTTTCTTTGTGTCAGGTCATTCAGATACTCGGAGACAGGTTTCCCTACAAACTTGTGTCAAAAAAGATTGATTGTAAGTATTAAAAGAGTCACCACATTTAAAATGATGGTTTTATTTGTAACTCTTTCTATTTTTACTCAGTGCCTGAGTATCAGGGAGAGCCAGATGAGATTTCTATACAGAAGTGTAAGGAGGCTGCACGACAGGTACATCATCATGTTGTCACAAGTGTTTATACCTTTACAAGAATCAAAAACTCAGAGGAACATTTGTAAAGTTATATTATTGTTCAGCAAAGTTAAGTCAGGTCTTCAGGACGTTTATTTTTGTTGAAAGGTTTCGTCGTCTTTTGGATGAAAGACGAAACTTTTTAACAAAAGAGGTTCTGACTTAACTTTGTTGGATTTTTTTAACCTGGATTATATAAGCATGAACTTTGATGTTTCATTATTATTGTTTTAATATGAGTTCTTTTATTTTTATGGGTGGATTTGTTCATAAGATTGATGGACCAGTGATAGTAGAGGACACATGCCTGTGTTTCAGCGCTCTGGGGGGACTACCTGGTCCTTACATGCAAGTACATTTTACATAACTTGTTTTATGGCACCGTGATTTATCATTTTATAGCACTATACTTTTAATTGCTTTTTTTACTATAGTTTATTGTTGACTGTTCTTTATATGTTGTCTGGTTTAAAACGGGTCTCGTGTAAGTGAGTCCTCGTGACTCAGTGAGACTAACCTGTATCAATAAAGGTTGAATGAATGAAAAACATTCTTAATAAGCAAATACAGCTAATAAGCAGTAATACAAAAAACTGTTTCTTTTTATAGCAAATGGTTTCTTGACAAACTCAAGCCAGAGGGTAAGTAATCAGATAAATGTTAGCATGATTTGCCATGATTTTTGTTGTTCAGCACATTTTAAACTAGTTCACATTTACTGTGCAGAAAAGTTGTAATTTAGGTAGTGAGATGTTCCCTGTGTGTTGCAGGCTTGTACAAGCTCCTAGCTGGGTTTGAAGATAAGTCAGCATGGGCTCTCTGCACTTTTGCCTTCTGTGCTGGTAAAGATGAACCTGTACAGCTCTTCAGAGGGAAAACAGAGGTCAGAGTCTGTCTCAGTAAAACTCCTTCGATGTTTACATGTTGAATATTTTCAACTGAATGGTTTTTGTGATACTTTTAGGGGCATATTGTGGAACCCAGAGGACCTCGGGACTTTGGATGGGATCCCTGTTTCCAGCCAGTTGGATTTGAGAAAACGTAAGCAACTGTTTGGTTTTAACCACAAGGGGGAGCCAGAGGGTAACACATAGTAAGAGTGCAAATACAAGAATATGACAAAAATCATTTGTTGGATTTTAATACTTATGCAGCTTGATTAGGCATGCTGGTTGTTCAACAAAATACTACTCGTAACCTCACTCTTTTATTCTTGTCATTTATTTGTAGCTATGCTGAACTCCCTAAGGAAGTGAAAAATTCAATCTCTCACCGCTACAGAGCACTTGCTGCCATGTCTGAGCACTTCTCACAAAGCAAGAAGCAAAAGCAGGACGAATAAAGATTAGGTTTGGGCACATCTGCAGCAAAATGTGTCAAAATGAAAGTTTACGGTTTCATTTTAATCATCTTGTCACTTTTGTCATTTTAAAGACATCTGAGCATTTTCTGCTTTGTAATTTTCTCGTTTACTTTTAAATAAAAGCGTTTATTTAGAAAAATGCACAAGTAGTTGTTATTTTTAGGCAACCTTTTTTATTCATACATTTTAGTTTTTGGTTGTTGTTTGAGGAGTGATCTTAGATGTTATAAAAAGTTAGTGGTAACTTTTTGCACTGCAAATATTCAGTAGCCTTTTGAGTTTTATTCTTCTGCGTTCACAAAAATACTTGTTGAGAAGACTATTATTCATGAAGTGAACATGAAAACAACAGACCACTCTGTTCCTATGATTGACCCCTGGATTTGGCAAAAGAAGCAGAAAGTTGTTCAGGCTCGAGTCCAAAAGGTGGAATTTAAGAAGAAGAAAAGAAACCGTCCAGAGGACCTGACTTAACTTTGTTGTTTGTTTGTTTTTTTCCTGGATTAATGAGCATGAACTTTTGAAAAAAGATGGGATATTGCGTTATTGCACACTGGTGAAAGGCAAAAGTGAACAACAGTGTGTTTCCCTCTGTGTCTGGCTGTTAGTAGCTACAGTATATTGTGAGCCTCAAACAAATTTAATGAAGCTTTCATTAATCAGTAGATGTTCATCTACAGCTGAGTAACTTTTCGAGTCAAGACAATTCAAGATGGCGGCCAACGCCAACTCACGTAAAAGCATAAAAATAGGTCTAACTCAGGCAAATTTGCACATGTGCTAAAACCTGATGTAGTAGTAGAGTTGCTGATGACACACCGAGTGTCATTGTCGCTCTAATATAGTGGATTTGTAGGAAGTAACAATTTTAGGAAAGTAAGTGCTTATATCAATTAAAATTACTGGTAGTTTTGTTTAAAAAAAATTGTTTTTCATGCACCACACATTAGTAAAACATAGAATGTTTTAAATAAGGCATAGCGTTCCAGTGTGAGGTTAATGTCATGATGATAATTTCTTTCGAAAGTGATTTTTGTGATTATGTTGGAAACACGTTCATTATTTTAAGCCCAGTAGGTAAAAATAACAACTTGGTGCATGAACCATGAAGGACATCACGTCTTCAAAACAACCAATAACAACCTGTTCTGATGCCAGGAGGAGTTTTACTCTTCAAGCTGTGGCTCATGATAGAAACTGCTCCTCCAGATCTCTGAGAAAAGGAAACCTGAGTTCATGAGAGTTTAATTCATTGAGATTGTATCAGAGAAAAGCCAGGTTTGATGAGTTTGGGGAGACGAGATGTATTTCCTTTTACATGTTATGTAAGACTCGCCTGACTTCACCTGCTGTGAGGAGTTTTATATAAGAGACTTGAGCTGAAAACATCACGTGTACCTGAAAACAGCTCCGTTTACAAACTGCTGAACTTTAAATCTGGAGAACTGGATTTGCTTTCAAAGCAGACATTTGACATTTTCCACTCCATAAATTGTGTGTTTCACTGAGCTCACTTGAATGAAGCCTGTCCAAGGTTTTTAAAGGTTCAGAGGGATGGAGCGTTCTGCCATGAGGTCACTGCCGTTAACGATAGAAACAGGCGACTGATGCGTATTCCTGCTGCCGTTCATGCTCAGGCTTTTCTCTGTTTACGACCAAATCCAAGCAGAGCTGAAAATACTCAGAGCTTAGTAAACACGTTGTTTCATCTTTCCCCAAAAAGTGTGTGCATCAGGTTCCACTGGCCTTTACTTTTAGAACTTCCATTAGAAATATGGTGACTGACCATTTAGTGAGAAGATGGACTTTTTTTAACAGTCTGTAAAGGGAAACTTTTTGACTTAAAGCCACTTTTAAAGTGCCATTCTGAGGACTCTCATTTAAAAAACAAATGAGCAGTACGCTCCAAATGTCCCCCATAGCTGAGATTTGAATAGTGAATATTTAACCTGAACGTTTTTGGTGCAAGTTGTTTAAATGGGAGTTACACTGTTTATAAGAATGAAGGTGTTTGTTTTTATTATTTCTTAATTTTTGCATGTCCAAGCCAGTGATCATTTACAAGAGAGACCTGTTTTTCACCTTATTTATGTTTTTGCTTCAAGAAGCCAAACTTTCTAATAATCCTGATTTTGATCAGTCGCTCTTCAGGCCTTCTGGAAGACTTACAAGTTTTCTTTGGGCTCCTTAAAAAAGTATCTTCTGTTTAGCTCAGTTTCATCAAAAGTTTGTGAATCCACAAATTCCCTCTGACTCGTTCAAACTAAAGAGAGCGCCAAACTTGAGGGATAAACAAATCACAGAATAATTTGATTTTTAGGCTTTTGTAAACAGATATTTTATTCACAAATTTGTCTAAAAACTTAGCAAAAGCATGCAGACCAAATAAAAGATGATAATCCTGTGTCAAATCTTTTCTCAATCTTAACATTATTTGTTGAGGCGTTCCACTGTGTTTTGTCAATAACTCTCCATTTTTTTTGGTTTTTGAAGACACTCTGCACACACTAGAAATATTCACAGCTTTAAGAAGGCCGCTGTAGTTTGGTGTTGTTTGGGAACAAAACAAATTTATGCACCTTTTGGTGACATGCTGACAGTAACAAGTGGTTTATTTATGCTAATTCTGTCCTTCAAATGTTTTAGTTATTTTTCTTTTCAAGGATGAGTTGGTAGAGCTGCTGCCTCTCAGTCAGAAGGTTGCTGGTTCAAATCCCAGTCTGGAGGCCTTTCTGGGTGGTTTGCATGTTCTGTCTGTGCATGTGTGGGTTTTCTCCAGTTTCCTCCCACAGACCAAAAACATGCATGTTAGACTGATTGGTAACTCTAAATTGTCTCTAAGTGTGAATGAGAGAGTGAATGGTTGTTTGTCTCATTTGTCTCTATGTGTCCCTGTGATGGACTGGAGACCTGTCCAAGGTGTCCCCCACCTCTCACAGTGATAGCTGGACATGGGCACCAGTGACCCCCGCGACCCAAAAAGGAAGAAGTGGGTAAAGATCATGGATTGATGGATGAAGATGAGCATTATAAACTGATTAAACTCCAGATGAACCCTTGGTGCCTTTCTATGTTTGAAATATTCACAGGTCAGTGATGGGGGGTGGGGGGGTTCATTCCCTCAAAAGTGGTTGAAGAACTGAACTATAAATTAGTTTTAAAATAAAATCAGACAAAAAAGGACATCTGAAAAAAAGTGTTTTACAAAAAGTTTCCATCCTTGGAAACAAAACAAAATCAGGCCTAGACACTTTGCATTAAACTATAAATTTTAACCAAATTTACATTTAAGCAATGCCCTCACTTGGAAGATAAATATTACAAAAGTAAAACATCTAATTATTTGACTGGGGTTAATTTTAACTGCTATAACAAAAGGTGCATTTAAAGCATGAGGCCCACACTGTCCTGCCTGTTGTGTTAATTAATTATCTGTTTTTATATTTTTCATCTTATCCATCAGAAGTAAAAGTACAAACAGGCCTAGTCGCACAGTGTGTTAAAAGTTACAGTCTATCCGAACAGGCCAGGATCGTGCAGGCTCAGAGTGTTTAAGAGGCGCTGGAAGTCGAGCAGGGTCCACGGCTCTCCACGCGTGTCCGCTGCAGACGCGCTGCTGCTGTGGGGGCTGATGCTCTGCGGGTCGTTGAAGGTCACCAGAACATCTGTGGAGAACTGCGGCAGCCGGAACAGACCCAGGTGAATGGCCACCGTGTTCTTCGCCTCTTCGTTGAACTTGGACACGCGCTGCGCTCCCGTGAGCATGCACGCGCAGCTGCACTCCTTCAGGGACAGCTCGGCTCTGGGCAGCGCCGCCACGCCGGAGACCTCGAGCGCACCGGGCTCCAGAGCCTGGTTGCAGCCAGCGACATCCTCGAAGTGGAACCTGGCCGCATCCTCGTCGGCCACCTGAGCCTGGTACTCCAGCAGCTCCACGATCAGGCATTGGTCGGTGTGGGGGTGAGCGAAAACCTCCTGGTTGTCCGGGATCTTCCTCAGCTCGCTGACGTCCGAGGCGCCGGAGGGGATGACCGCTGAGAAGGATCCTCCGAACAGAGCGCGAGCCTGAAGAGCGCTGCCTCCTCCTGCACGCTGCATGTCTCTGAGAAGCAACACACGCAACGACCGAGGGTGACTGTCCGATCAAACTCACGTTTTATTAACTGCAACCCGTGAAAATGTCATTATAAATGTCTAAAGAATGGTGGGTGTTTGCTCACCGAGTTATCGCGTGCGCTGTAAACTTCTTTCTTCTTCTCTTCGGCTCATAGACACGTCCAGCTCTCTACTGCCCTCTACAGGTGAACATGGACATGCTCATAGATAACAATTCTCTGTGTGCTTAACTGGACAACTTTAAAGAAACTTTCAAAAATAAATCATTGGATTTACATTTTCTTTTTCTTCGTCTCCTTTTTTGTCGGTCATCAATTCATTGAGGTTTTAAACGAATGTATTTTTAGCAGTTTGTCTGAGAGTGTTTTTCATGTTTTTACAGATTGTGTACAACTGACGACTCTGTTTAATCTAATGACGAGGATCTTTAGTTTTTTTTTTACACAGTTTTCACCAAATCTGTTTTTTATTAATGGGGCACATTACAGCAAAGCCACTAATTAAAATCTCAAACTTTAAACATTTTAGTGGCCGAAGCAAAAACGGCTGTTTACTTGTCTCGCAGGGACAGAGTGCAGGCTGGACCCCAGCTTGATGCCGTGGCTCTGTGGAAGTGCAACGTCAAGGCCAGACTGGCGTTGAAGTTTTGCTTCCACAGAGACACTGGACACTTGGAGGATTTTGTGAAACTGTGGGGATTTAAGAAGGATGTATGCAACATTTCTGATTGGAGAACTACAATACAACAAGCTCCTCATGTAAATACTTTATTTTAGTTTGTCCTGATCACTTTTTTTACACTGTTGTGTTAACTTTTGTAAATAAAGTTTTGTTAAAAATCTAAATCTTCTTTTTCTCCTTGTTCTTCTTCTTGCAGCTTTTCCCTCTTCGTGGGTCACCACAGCAACTCATCCTCCTCCATCTCTGCCCTCTGCATCCTCTGTCCTCACTCCAACTACCTCCATGTCCTCTCTAACTGCATCAATGCATCTCCTCTTTGTCTTTTTCCTGGCAGTTGCGTTTCTAACATCTTTCTACCAGTATACCCACGGTCCCTCCTATGGACATGTCCAAACCATCTCAGTCTGGTCTCTCTAACTTTATATCCCAGTTCAACCTGTGCTACCTCTGATGATCTAATTCTTGTCCATCCTTGTCACTCTTAAGGAGAACCTCAACATCTTAATTTCTGCCACTTCCAGTTCTTTCTCCTGTTTTTTATTTTTTATCAATGTCACTGTCTCCAGACCATACAACATAGCTGTCTCACTACTGTCTTGTAAACTTTTCCTGTGACCTTTGTTGACACTGTTTTGTCACAAATCACTCCTGAAACTTTTCCCCATCCACTCCATCCTGCCTGGACTCGCCTATTTACCTCTTTACCACATTTCCTGGACAGTGGACCCCAAGTACTTGAAGTCCTGCACCTTTGTGACTTCTGCTCCTTGTAGCCTCACTGTTCCACCAGCCTCCCTCTCATTCACACACATGTACTCTGTCTTACTACGACTGACTTTCATTCCTCTTCTTTCAAGTGAATACCTCCACCTCTCCAAGTTCTCTTCCATCTGTTCCCTGTTCTCACCACAGATCACAATGTCATCTGCAAACATCATAGACCATGGGGATTCCTGCCTGACCTCATCTGTTTGTCAGTCTATCACCAGAGCAAAGAAGAAGGGGCTCAGAGCAGATCCTTGATGCACTCCCACCACCACCTTGAAGCTATCTGTCACTACAGCACATCTCACCTCTGTCCTGCTGTCCTCATACATACAACACATTCTGCTTACATTTAATTCAATTTAATTAAGTCACAAATTCTAACATTGTGAGCCATTAGTAACTCAGTAAGGCTTCATTTAAAAAGTCTGACTCTGAGGGGTTTGAGATCTTCAGCTTCTAAAGGAATTTGAAATCAGATTTAGTAAACAGGATACAATAACACTGTTTTTTTTTATCCACTTCCCACCACCATTATGATTTGTTCAGCAAAACCATTTTATTATTATTCCATGCAAAGGTTGAAATCACTTTCATGATTCAAATAGGTAAACAAAATACTGTTACAAGTATGTATAAAAAAATTCTGGCTGGTAATTTATGAGGCAGCTAGTAGCAGCATTTTATTTATTTATTTTCCAAAAATGTGATGGTTTAGAGCCATTTGATTTTTGTGGAATTAGCTCTTAATACGCCAAATTACTTATCGTGCTCAGACCTCCACCAAATGTATGAGGATAAATATGGTCCAGACAATCTTTATTATCAATGAAGATAAAAAAAAAATTAAAAAAAACCCCTTTGCAGCTTTTCCTCCAGCTGTTCTCTCTCTTTTTTTTTTTTTTTTAAACAAAACAAAAACATTTATTTAAAACAAGTACAAACAAGTATGGCAATTCACAATATTGTGAATCTAAAAAGGGCATAGCAGAGGCAGACTTAGATATGGGAACATCAAAAGCAAAACTGATTAAAGAATAATAAGGTAAAATAACAAAAAGAAAAGAAAATAATAAAATAAATTACAACAAGGGCATATATATTTTAGGATTAGGATTAGCATGAATTAGTGGGCAATTCCATTAACATTTTCATACAGGTACTGAAACATACAGTACTTGTACAGTACAGTACTTGGTACATACAGTACTTATACAGTACAGTACAGTACAGTACAGTACAGTACTTAGTACATACAGAACTTAAACATACTTTGTAATTTCATACAGTACTGAAACATATGGAGATATGTTTCAGAGATTTCAATTATAATTGGAATTCAGATTTAAAAAAAAAAGAGTTAAAAACTGGGGATGATCTTAGCACTCTCTGTTTATGGATAAATAATTTTACCAGATAAAATATCAGATTACAACCAAGTTCCATTTTTTTATTTTATTTTTTCAATAATACTCCAAATGTTACCATGTCTCTGGAAATAGATTCAGGAAGTGTAATTTTCGGTGTGATCCATCTTTCTAAGTGATCCCAAAATATTTTGGTTTTGTTGCATTCATAGAAGATATGGTCTATTGTTTATATGTCCTTTTCACAGAATGAACATTTATTGTCATCAATATTACAATTATTTCTTAGTAGCTCTTTGGAGGGGTAAATTGCATTAAAAAATTTAAAGTGTTTCTTTAGCCTTTAGTTGTATGGGGAGTTTTAAATAGAGTCCTTAACATTTATGTTTATTTATTTAATCCAAATTTGAAAAGTATGTTATTTTGATTTATTTTCCCAGGGAATAAAATTTCGTTTAGACAGCTTCTAATTGTGTAGTTGTTGATTTTTTTTTTTTTTTATTGATTTTTTTTTTTTTGTCAGTAAATAATATTCCATTAATAGATAGAGTGGGTAATTGTGGGGTTATAGGATGATATGCTATTATATTCTGAATCTGATAAATAAATTGTTTTGGTAATGCTTTAATTAATCTGGTAAATTCAACTTTAGGGGGATAGAATTTATAATTCGCACAGAATTGTTTATAGTTAAACATGTAACATTAGCATCCATTAAGTTACAACAGACCAAATGTTCTTTTATTTTTTTCTTCAATCTTTATAAAATAATTATTTATTGCGGTATAGTACGAACCTGTTATTCCATATGGTAGTGGAGTGTGGTGAGTAATTATGTACGTTACGTAGATCATTTTCCGGTATAATATAAGACTATACTTTCAGGGATCATTTCTATAGTTCCTCCAGCTGTTTTTCAACTGTTTACAATCAACTTCCGGGTCAGCTGACTCAGGGGGAGGAGCCAGTATGAGCAGGACCGCCGCTAGCATCCGTAAGGACTGTAACGTCTGAGAGTCTGGGACAACTTACAAGATGAACTGGACGAATCTGTAAAAACACTTTAAAGCAAGAAACTATCTGACTGATTACTGGGGCTCTGTGTGGAGGAATTGATCTGCGTCGAGCAGCCGACATTCTGTCAAACAGCAGGTAGCTAGAATTAGCTTCTTTAGCTTAGCATTGTTTAGCCTAGCTGGGTAAGTGAAGGGTCTGTTTATGTGAGGTAATGACACCATAATGGCATTTGAGCGTCAGTTTTGCTTCTTATCTTTATTTTGTTGGTGAATGCAGACAAAAACATTCGTACAGTTAGATATTGATTAGCTACAGTTGTACTAATTGCTGTAATATAAGCATTCATTAATTTAATAGCTGCTTTCAATATGTCAGTTTCTATTCCAGCTTCTTTCTTCGTCCTCTTTCAGACCATAGAGCTGTTTTTTTTTTTATTTGAGGAATCTTGTTAAGCCAATACAAATAACATCAGGACTTTCTGTTTCAATATGTAGACATTCTGCTCTCCTTTTCTTTGTTTATTTGAAGTTATAAGCCATAAAGGTTTTAATCATCTTTTTTTCTTCTTTTGGCTTCATGAAGCAATTTGACGTCATTATGTTTAACTTTTTGTGTAATAACTCACAGCTAAAATCCAAAATTATTTCTCATTCAGTGGATTGTACCTTTGAAGTTCCTGTCCTAAAGTAGATGTTGACTTTCTAAACTTCCTTCGTCAACTCAGCAGGTCAGACAAGGTCCTCCTCATTCTCTTTGTCTTTTTACTGCTTCAGATCTGTTGGCTGCCTCTCCTCCTCTCTTGGCTGGTGAAAGGCCCTGTTTTGTTCCAAACGCGTTGCCGGAAAAGGACGCTGAAAAAGCCACAGAGTCAGACTTAACCGGATTCAATGGTATCAGTTGGCTTGATGCAGTGAGAGATGGGGTGCTGTGCATAAGTAAATGTGCATCTCCCAGATTATTGCAGGTCTGCTAAGTTCACATATAACAGAAGCTTTTTATTGAAATGTGTGTGTTTCTTTTGGTGGAACACAAAGCACTCAAACATACACTCAAGGATCTGTACATTTTCCAGATTCACTTAGTAGAAATTGTTGCGTATGGCAGTGTTTGCTCTATTATTATTAAATATTAAAACCATTGTGTTCTGTGGAGTATTTTAGCTGTTCCTATGACTGTGCTCCTCTGGACAGAGATCTCAGAGGTTGTTACTAGGATCTGTTGGAGCCACTCTTCCAAATAGATACATTAATATTTGTATATGTATGTATAAATATAATACATTTACAATAAATAGCTTTTACATTTTGTTCACAACTTGATCAAGTTACAGCTTTATTTGTCACAGGAAAATCCAAAACTTAAATGCGACAGAACTATTTGTATAAATTAAACCCAACTCAAAAAGTGTTGCTGTCATCTTTGTGTTCTCTGACACTTCAGAACACAAAACGGTACACGAGAACAGGACTGAACATTTTTCTTCAAGCTCCTAATCTGAAAGCAGTTAAAGTAGTGTCCAACCTAATATTCGAGACCTGCTAGATTTATTATATTGGTAAATTATTTACTTTATTTAAGCTGTATGTAGGTAAAACATAACGGCTCAGTGGTTAGCACTGTTGCCTCACAGCAAGAAGGTCCTGGGTTCAATCCCCACTTGGACCTGGGGTCTTTCTGTGTGGGGTTTGCATGTTCTCTCCGTGCATGCGTGGGTTTTCTCCAGGTACTCCGGTTTCCTCCCACAGACTAAAAACATGCGTGTTAGTCTGCCTTCAGGCCCAGGCCTCCATTGTAAAAGAGATCTGTGATCTCAGTGGGATTTGCCTGGTTAAATAAAGGTTAATAAATAAATAATTAAAGCTTGATAATCATTGAGTTACATTTGTCTGTAGGTTTTGCAAAGTAAGCTAGTGAAGGGACACCTAGCAGTATAAAAGAAAAGCTCTGTCTAGTTGAAAATCTGTCATTTTAGTAGTCTCTTACACCTTTTCTGCTTTGCTTGAATTATATTTTTAAAACCTCTTTGCAATGTTACAAAAAGCTAACTTTGGGACTGAGAACGTTTTTATTTTGAGAGCTGAATCTGCTGGTCACTGGTCAAGCAGATCAAGTAGAGAACGGATTCTGATTCTGGTCACCTGCCGAGCAGTCACTTAATTCCTAGTGTTAACTTATTTTGTCTTAAAGCCATCGGCATGTGCAACAGAAATTCATGGGTTCCTCTTTGTCCTTCACCAGACAGCTTCACCAAATGGGAGAAAAATGTTTGATAGTTTCAGCATGGTGTTGTAGACAACAACAGACCAACTAAAAGCATGAACAACAGACCTGTTTTTGCAAAACAAGCACAGGATCAATGTGCCTCAGTGCTTGTGTTTGATTGTTCTGTAAATGTAATCACTGTATCTCTGAACATAACTGATTATCCTCTCTCCTGCCGTACAGAGGGAGCCAGACCGGGAGGAGCTGCCAGAAGACAATATGCCCCCCAAGTTTAAACGGCACCTCAATGATGACGAGGTCACGGGATCCATCCGCAGTGAGAGGGTGAGTTTCAGATAGTGCTTGGACTCATGATCAAGGATGTGAAGGAGTGAAAACAATTATGCTAGAAGGGAGACACCATCAATACATTTCTTGATCTACTTTAAGCACAGCCAACAGACATAAGGCTTATGACCTGATTAATTTGACAGATATTGACCAAAAATGTTTGCCTGTTAGCTAAGAGTTATCCCAAATACAAATGTTAAGCGCTAACAGATAACTTAAAATCTTTGATTTAAATTTTGCTGTACTTTTTTCTGTTAGTAAAGTATCGTATGAACCACTGGACAACTTTTAATGAAACTTAATTAAGTTTCATAATCATTGGCTATACATCTAAAACTGATTTAACTTTTATAGTCAGTTCAATTTAAGTTTGCCGCTACAGCTAATTGACATTAACCTACACAAAAATGCCTAAAACTCAAATTTTACACCTAAAATTTGTTGTAGCAGTTGAGTCATTAATAACTTAAACTCTGAGTGTGACAAATATCCCAAGATTGCAATTTTCAAAGAAACCATCCGAAGGACCTGACCTAGCTTTGTTAGATTTTTCTACCTGGATTATTGAGCATGCATCAGGATGTAATGTTCATTGTTTCACCAAAACAGATATGAACTGTCATTTCTCATCACAAGTTGATCCTAGTTTAAAACTCTTGCATAATTGGCAATGGGTGATATGCATTCTTTCAAGGAATGGTAGGCCTTTAATTATAATTAAAACTGAGGATGCTTGAACTGAATAGTTTTGCCGTGAATTACATTTATGATAAAATAAAAATCAAGAAAAAAACATCCATCCATTATTTTTACTCACTTGTTCCATTTTGGGTCACAGGGGTCACTGGTGCCCATGTCCAACAGTCACTGTGAGAGGCAGGGGACACCCTGGACAGGTCTCCAGTCCATCACAGGGACACATGGAGACAAACAACTATTCACTCTCTCACTCACACCTAGAGACAATTTAGAGTTACCAGTCAGTCTAACATGCATGTTTTTGGTCTGTGGGAGGAAACTGGAGCACCTGGAGAAAACCCACACATGCACCGAGAGAACATACAAACTCCACCCAGAAAGACCCCCGGCCAGGATTTGAACCAGTGTCGGATAAATTAATTATCTTTTCATCATCTCTTATTTTAAGTAACCACTCTGAGGACACGAGAAGATCTTTCAACCCAGTTTACTTGCAAAGGGGTAGAATTCAAAACAGGGTTACAAAGATGTTCCACTGAAGCTCCGGTCACGAGGTCTGCCCATGGACAGTATAAAGAAGAGTCTTTTTATAATGTTTATCAGACAGAGAGAGGTCAAGACGGCCTCTGCTTTCCAGCTTACAAACAACGGAGGAGGCCTTTGAGTTATCAGGTGCGCAGGCTCCTCTCTGTTCAGACAAAACAACTCTAACTCGCACGCATTAGTTACTAAACATCCATAACCTTTATCTAAATTCCCCTGACAACCGGCGACCTGCTTGCTGAGAGGCAGCGGCTCTACCACTGTGCCACAGTGCTGCCCAGAGTAAAAACAAAACAGAAAAATAAGATGGGGAAGCTAAAGAGACTGAAGGTTTAAATGAAGTGAGTCAGTGGCTGCGACTAGAAGGTCCTGTGGCCAAACATCTGGTCCTCATTAAAAGTGATCCTTCTGTCCCACGCCCCCCCCCCCCCCCTCCATTTCTTCACTTTATTCACCTCTCGTTTCCTTTGTTATTGTCTTACTCGCTGTTTTTCCTTGAATCAAAGCTAAGCTTGCTGAATGAACTGCATAACAAAACCTTCTCCTCCACCTTCCATATGGGACAGAAGTTGTTTTTATCTGATGATGTTTGTTAACAGTCCCTTGTATATCCAGTCCTGAAAGAATGACAGAGACACGTTGCACATAAGGAAAATACCAGTTCATGTGGCTATCCTTTTTATCCTTTGTGGCTGCTATCCTTTTAGATGTTTTGACAGTGACATTGTGTTTATATACCTTTATACTGTATGTTGGTACATTGTTGTCTGGCAGCTGTCACGTCATGTTGTGTACTCCCAACTACTGAAAGTTTAATGTTAATATTCACAATATGTAATATTAAATTTAAAAGTGTATTGTGCAACTGACTTTTTCACCTCTGTGATTTTAATGCAGCTGTTTTTAGTATGTTTCCATGAATAACATGTTTACAGAGTTTATTCTGCTTGGATCGTATCCATCCATCGTTCAAACTTGATGGAATAACCAAAGTCATCCTTTCACAGGTCCTGGGTGTGTTAGCTAGCAGCGTGTGTATCATCCTGATTATCCTTGCAGGACGTTCAGTTTGACAGAGCAGGGGACTGAGTTTTGGCATGCACAGCACCACAGATGGAACTTTACTGTCATCCACCATTTTAAGTGGACTATACGAGTTTATTAAAAATGTCTGTTTAATGGTTCATGAGATATTCTGCAAGAAACATTAACACATACAGACATGGACAAAACGTTGTCTTTTCATCTGCAGCAGTGGATTTAAAAATCAAAATACAGAAATTATTTTTATAATCCCTTTTTATAGCAACCCAGTCTACTCATTTTGTTTTTCTGTGACCCACAATCTTTATTTTGTATCTTTTCTTGTAACAGAGGAACCTTCTGGAGGAGGACTCTGATGAAGAAGAAGACTTTTTTCTGTGAGTTTTTGTAAGATTCCCTATTTTACAATGTAAGAACAATTAAAATTTGTTGAGGGCCATGAAAGTTAAGCAGTTTATTTTATTCATAATCTTTCTATGTGTTGTGTATATAATAATAATGATAATAAACTTTAAATTTATGTTCTGTGTTGATTTTAAGATGCTGTTTTTGCAAGTATTTACTTTTTCTTTTGTTAAATTTTACGGACAAAACATCTGCAGTGTTTCCCCTACAATTATACAAGCAGGGCGCCGCCCCCCTTCAACAGAACTGAGCGCCCTGCCTACCAACACCACCCCCTCAACTGCTGACGTAGCGCTAAGCTAGCACTGTGCAATACAGACGCACTAGCTAACATGCTATGACTATGGAGGTAGCGCTCTGTCAACCTCACGCTGAGCCATCTCCTCCCCCAACCCCTGCTCGAAAACTGACGGTACAAACGACGCGCAACAGACGTGTCTCTCTCTCCCATCACAAAACTCATCTTGAGCGAGCATGAAGGCGACAGTGAAAAGGAAAAACTCCCTCATGAGGAAGAAACCTTTAGCAGAACCAGGCTCAGGACAAGCGGTCATCTGCTTCGACTGGCTTGGTTTGAGAGGAACAGATAAACAATAGCAGGTCCAGAATCACATGTTGATAGAAATAGTATCAAATGAAAACTATTCAATTTTAATAATTAATTTTAAGAAATGAGGTCAATTTGCTCTCTAGTAGTCTAAGCTTAAGGCAGCATAACAAGCCAACCCTAACTATAGGATTAATCAAAAATAAAAGTCTTAAGCCCAGTCTTCAAACTGGACAATGTGTCAGCCTCATGGACAGAAACTGGAAGTTGGTTCCACAAGAGAGGAGCCTGAGAACTGAAAGATCTTCCTCCCATTCTGCTTTTGGAAACTCTAGGAACCACAAGTAAACCTGCAGTCTGAGAGTGAAGTGCTCTGTTAGGAAAATATGGAACAGGATCTCGAATATAACATGGAGCTAGGTTGTTGAGGGCTTTGTAAGTTATAAGTAATATTTCAAATTCAATTCTGGATTTGACAGGGAGCCAGTGGAGAGAAGTTAAAACTGGAGAGATATGATCTCTCCTACTAACTCCAGTTAAGACTAATTTTTAATTTGTAAATGATCGTTAGGTACCATACCTGATAGGGGAGTGGTGGTGCAGAGGTTAGAGAAGGTGGGCCTGTGATTGGACGGTCACCGGTTCAACTCCCCAGACTGACAACATCAAAATGTGGGTGGGAAAGATGAAGCACCCACACCTGCCTCCACCCTCATTTACCCCACTCTGGGCCCTTGAGCAAGGCCCTTAACCGCCACCATCTGCTCCCCCAGGCACCCTAGATGACGTTTCTCTGCTCCGCACAGAGGGCTGCGGTAGCTCAGTGGTCTGTGGTTGAGTCAGGAAGGGCATTGGTGTAAAAATAATTTCCAAGTCTTGATGAGAGTTAGTTCATTGTGGCGACCCCTGAAGAAGGGAACAGCCGAAAGGAAAATAAATAAATAGATAAATAAATTAGGTACAGTATCTTAAGGAACCAGTGTAAAATTGTTTTTCACCAAAGCAGCAGCGAAGTTGAAACATCATTAACCTTAACTTCATTACCAATGTTTTCCAGGAGAGGGCCCACAGGACCCAGATTTGGACCTCAGAAGGACAAAATGAAGCAGTAAGTATTGACACGCTCCTCACTGCAGCTATAAAACCAGAGGTCAGAGACTTTCCCACACTTTGGTACTGGCGTTATGTAACGGCATCTTGATGTGTTTACCAGAAGTTACTGGTTGTTAGGACATTGTGTTAATCAGCCTATCGCTTGCAGGTTGTTATGGAAATTTTGCAGGACATCTCGGTGGCTTTCTTCTTTCCTAAGCACCAGTTGAAGGCAGACAGTAAACAGAGGAGGTCTTTGTTGAGACTGTCTGGCACCCAGAGTTGTTTCATCATGCTTGCTTCATACCGTGCACTTTGTCATTGTCGTGCCCACGTGAAATTAGAGGCTGTCATCAGTGTCCAGGAATGTCTCGAGCTTTTCATGTGTGCGCCTGTCTGAACCTGGACCCATGAATTCCTCGTCTGTTTCCTGCAGCTGGTGCTCTTTTATGTCTCCCTCAAAGGTCGAATGTGTTTTACTCACCGTCTGTTTTTTGCACCTACACCATCTTTACCCTGCAGCAGTAAAGCTGGAAGCAAACACTGCAGACATTTGACAGAAATTTTTTTGTTTGTTTGTTTTATATGACAATTTTCACCCATTTTGAGAACTTTCCATACTCAAGTAGAGGTAGCATGACTAAAGTACGGGTTTAATCATAACGCAGCAGGTATTTAACAGGTCCAGGTCGAACTGACTAAAGTCTGACATTGTGGCACAAAGTTATTTTGTGCGGGTTGACCAAAGCTGGATGCAAAAATGCTTATGAAGAATAAAATCTGTCTTTCATTTAAGAATAAAGTCCTCTGTGTGCTCAGGGTGCAGTCGCAGGTGGATGAGGTGATCGATGTGATGCAGGAGAACATCTCCAAGGTGATAGAGAGGGGCGAGCGTCTCGATGACCTGCAGGACAAGTCAGGTGAGTTGCACCGGCACCGTGTTGGTTTTTGTGTCTCCACACACACAGAAAACACATGCGCTCAATTACAAACTCTGAAGTCAACGCCCTAGGAAGTGTATTAGTTTGTTTTAACATTTATTTTCCACTAAAAGCTTTCATATCCTTCAAGCCTCAGTGATCATTTGAGTAATGCAACTGGAAAACTTCCAGCAATGTGCTGCATCGAGTTTAAAAGACAAACATTTGCCGATGAGGCTCATTTATTGGAAGTATCCTTAAACTATTTGGCATTGAAGGATTAAAAATAATCTCTACTGTTAGAAATTCTTGAAAGGTTCTGAATGTTCTTCGATAGGTGCACCTTGTCAGTATGATATGATAGTGGTGGGCACAGTTCCTCTAAGCTGCTAACAGCTAACAGCGGACCTAATTTTTTGTTATCAGATTAGCGTTTTCGCTAACTTTGAAAACCGTTAGTGGAATTATCTTCTGCCAAATTAGGTTTCACCAATTTAAGGGCTGATAACAAAATTCTCAAGCTTGTTCTTGTCTGTTGTGGGCGTGTCTCGAAGAATCCGTTAGACTGTTGGCTTATTACACGACTCGTGACAAGACGTGATTGGTCGGCGCAGCTTCAAGATGTGCGACTCAAACTGAGTGACGGTCGTCTTAGTGGTTAACGGTTTAGAGTTAACTTTCGCTAATTCTGTTTATCTGTTTATTGGTTTTGCGTTAGAGCTTTTAGTTAGTGTAATATGGGTTAGTGAAGCTAACTTTTTGTTTAGCTTTGCACAGAAAAGCATAGTATAAATGAGATTTCTGTACTTCAGTATACAAACAAGCCAGTGCAGCTCATGTAGTGTATGTGTTGGTTGAATTTGACCGTAATAAACAAAGTCAACATAAAGGTAAAAAGTTTACACCAAATGCTGTTTTTTCTTCTTCTACAAAAAATAAATAAAAACTTGTTTGAATTGCAGACTGGAAACACTGGGCCCTTTGTGAGCAAGAAAGTAGTAGAATGTGGTATCACTAATGCTTTAGTATTTGGTCCAACAAACAAAACAGCAATTTTGTAGGTATTTCTTATGGGTAATTTGTAGTTTGTCATTTGCTGGAACTAAGGAGCCTGATTTTGCTCATGGCTCTGTAGAACTAAGGCGAGCAAAGTAAAATCAAGCTTCCAGGGCTGACGGATTAAAGACACATAAGCTCAAACTCAGAGTTTCAGACTAAAAGGGCAGCAGCACTTAAAAAAAACTGTGAATATTTTTGCTCTTCTATTCAAATTGAAAAATAAACAAATTAAAGCCCTAGCTGTTCTTGAAAGAATGTATAGTTCCTTTCATGCCAAGGGTTGACACTAATATCTTATGTTTTAAAATGTCAGCTGATTGATTCAAAACTTAAACAACAACATTGTGAAAAATCAACTCAGCCCTTTTGTCAGTGTGTTGAAGTCACTGATTCAAACATTTACATTAGATCTAAAATAGAAAACCGTTTCATTTAGAAGAATGAGTGAAACATTGTTTAGTCAAAGCCTTTTTTCATCAAAACGGCTGAATGCATGTAAACACTTACTGTCCGCTGAATATTTCATCATTTTAAATGTTTGGCCAGGTGTGCACCTGAAAGCTTTTAAAAAGTCTCTGACTGTCAGTGTGCTCGCCTTACACAGTCTCACACACACACACACACACACACACACACACACACACACACACACACAAACAAACATGTGTTTCAACAAAATGCTCAATCCTGAACTTCCTTTCCACAGATGAAGCTCTGCTGCTGTTTAAGTGTCATTATCCTGCATCTTGCACGCACATGTTGCACGGACACGTCACTCTGTCATGTTGACCAACCTGCTAAAACATCAACGCACATCTGGAGCACTTTGTTGCCTTGTTTGGGTTGTTTACGTAGTCCTGTGTTTGTGTCTCTGCTGTGAACATGATACGCTGTTGTCACTCTGAGCCATGTGACCCTTTTGTCAAATTTCTCAGGATTAACGAGCGTGTTCTCACCGGGCAGGCACGGCCGCTGCTTTTTGTAGTAGCGACAGCTTGTAAACAGGCATGAAGATGGAAACAGCAGGCGCAGAGTTAAAGAGAGACTTGGAGAAGCACTGAAGTGCACACTCGGGAGCCGTAACCCTCCTGCTCGTGCTCGGAAACACCCGATTTAACAACAGCATGGGAGAGCCAGACTGTAGTGTGGGGGCTAGCCTGCAGCATGCATTGATGGGAAGAAATGCGTTTTGCTCCGTTCTGTTTAATTTTAGAAACTTTCCTGACATTTGATGCTAACAGAGCTGACTGTAAAAGGTCAAGTCTTGAACAACACACAGGCGGACAGCTTGAGTTATAGCTGAAAATGATCAGACGGTTGATAGATTATTTTCTGCGAACCCTCTGATTTGTTTTCCTCCTTGTTTTTCCTCGCCTGCTGTACTCCGCGCTCGCATGACTCTGCAGAGAGCCTTTCAGACAATGCGTCTGCGTTCAGCAGCCGAGCCAAACAGCTGCACAGGAGGATGTGGTGGAGAGACATGAAGGTGAGTGTCTGTTTTCAGACTGTCTGCACATCCACTCATGAGACACATTTCCAACTTGTCACAGGGGTTGATTTGTTCATTCTCGGCATTGAACGACGTGTTTTAACGTGTTGTCCCATCAACAGATGAAAATGATTATCGCTCTGGTAGTTGTTGTTGTTCTGCTGATTATTATCAGTGAGTATCAGATACATTGCTTGAGGAAGATTTATATAAACAAGAGGTGAAGGACTCTTGCCTTACTGGTTTTTCTTTCTTTCTTTCAGTCCCAGTGATACTTCGATATCGTAACTGATGATGAGCACGAAGTAGAGCCTTCCTCCTGCTGCTGTTTTTCTTGTATCCAACTCATCTGCTCACAGTCCTCCGTTCCTGCTCGGGGGCATCACCCTGCTGCCCACACCCAGTTCAGCATCAGCCTGTTTGTGCTCCCGGATCTGGCCTCAAATCCTCACCTTATTACTGATCTTATCACATTCCAACACAAATCTGATGTGAGATCAGTTGTAAGGCTCCGTTCCATGAAACATATTCTGTGTAGGGCCTTGGCAAGGGGTCCTGCATGTTACATCACCGATAAATGCCAATAAATCTAACCTAAGTTATCTACTGTGAATCTGCTGCAGCAGTCTTTATAAAGAGGTTGCACACGAAGCAGATGAGCCTCTTTGCACATTTTTTTCTTCTTCACATGAGGTCAAGGGACATTTGAGCTTCATCTGCATTGTAGAGTGCTTTTAAGGAAGCTCGAACAATTCACAATTTTTACGTTTTCTCCACAATAATATTGGACCCCATGTGTTCATAGCAACTTGCTTTGTAGCGTAAAGCGCCATTGCTTTCTGTTGTACAGAGGAACCATGTGAAACCAAATCGAGGTTCTGAATGTCTGCTCTGTGCTCCAAACCTCTCACGTCCTCTTTGGTTGTGCAAGTCTCTGAGCCACTTTAGTCACAGCTGTCCAAAGTTCCAGCTGTTATTTTGCTCTAACTTTGCAGAAGGTTTTATTTAATTTAAAGCTGGTTCTGTCTTTTTTTAATTTAAATAAAAGATGTTACTTCTGCTCCATGTGAAGCTTTGTATGAATGCTGGTATTTGCTACTAAGGGAATGGTTTATCTCTGTGCGGTTCCATTTAAGGAGGTGGATCCTATGTGATGCGTAAAGCGCTGTGCCCTGAAACAAACATAGGTGTTGTGACTGGATTAACTACATGGTAATTTGATAATTTTTGTGTAATTTATTTTAACTGTAAATACTGATTCTGTAATGATAATGTACAGGACTCTGGCATTGCATTGGAAAACAGTAATTCTCTTTGCTCTGAAATAAAGAAGGTTTTAAAGGGCACTGCTCTGGTACTGTCTGGTTTGAAGTAGCTGATTGTTTTGGAAAGGAGAAATCAGTGGGCATGGAAAAGAAGTTAATAAAATGTTTCCTTCAGTTTTTAACACATTAAGTGTTGTCCTGCTTCCAGTGCAGGCAAGTTCCAGGGCTTTTATCTGCTATTATATTATGTTAGTTTGTCACATGCAGGTTAACACAAGGTCAACAATGCAATGAAATGTTCAGGATGAGAAGAACCAGTTGGACTCGCACAAAAAACAAAGAAATACTAAAGCAGATCCATCCATCCGTTATCTTTTACCCGCTTCTTCCATTTTTGTGTCCCGGGGGCGCCGGTGCCCATGTCCAGCAATCACTGTGCGAGGGGCGGGGTCTAAAGCATATCAAAAAGTGACAAAAAATATATATTTACAAGGTCCAAAGAAATATAGTAAACAACAACATGGTAGAATATAACAGTGCAAGTAGGATAAAGTAGTATAAGTATTTCACAGATAGTAATATTATCCATTTTAAAGACCCAAGGTGGCTCTAAAGTTGGAAGGTCTGAAACCCATGATGTGTTATGGCTCTGGCAGACTCATGGTCTCACGACCCCCCAACACCACACACAGACACACTGGCGGCTCTGTCCAGCTCTTCTGAGGGAGGAGAAGCAAAACTGGCCCAGTGGGACACTTGATTTTGTTGAAGCATGACAGATGGATGCTTCAGCTCACATCTGTTGATGATGCACACAGCAGGGGGTGGTGGCTTTATTTCCACTCTGAACATGGTTCAGGCTCACACACACTGAATGTAGAATAGGTGCAGTGAAAAAAGGCTGAGCATGGCCTTAAAAATGCTGCAGTTCTTTACATCAGAGGTTCTCAAACCTTTTTGGGTTCAGGGACCCCTTACAGGGGAGAAAAAGTTTTAGGGACTCCCTCATAACCCAGGAATGTCTCGAGCTTTTCATGTGTGTTTATTATGTTTATTACATCATTTTCTTCAGTCTCTTTAATGCAATGGGAATATTTGTGTACCATAAATACCTGTTCTTTAATAGTGTTAATGCAATTTTTATATTATTAAACATGGGGTATTTTTCATTCAAGACACAATTAACAACATGTTTAATTTCACGTCCAAAAATTACAGTTTTGAGAAAATTAACTATCAGAAACTACTTCAAAACTTTTACCTATTCACACAATGAACGTGTATCGTCACTTCTTCAAATTATTGCAGAAAACTTCACATAAAACTGAACAGAATCATAGCAGCATACCAAGTAACAGATCTTCATTTGGAAACGGATCGATGCCAGAACACACATAGTGTGTGTGTGTGTGTGGGGTGGGGGGTCTGGGGTTCCTCCCCCAGACATTTTTGAATAAAGTAGATGCGATTTCCTGCATTTTGGTGTATTTTAACAGGTTATTAAACATCTACGTGCTTGTAAAAAATTTTTTTTAAATTAAATTAGAAAAAAATGTGTATATATATATATTTTTTTATTTTTTTTTTTAACGAACCCCCAAGCACTGTCTCTCGGACCCCTGGGGGTCCGGGGATGCCAGTTTGAGAACCACTGCTTTAAAGGTCATACTAAAGTCATATTAAAAATTTGTAAGACCCTCTTTCAGTTGTTTTGCACATCAAGACAATATCAGTTCTTAAAAAATAGGTAAATACAACCTTATCTAAATAACATATGGTATATTTATTTAAAACAAAAACTAAACAACAACAATTAAACTGCATGAAAATCGAAGTCAACATTTGATCAGTAGCTCATGGCAACAAGTTGAAGTAAGCATGTTCTAGATGACTGGATCACGTTTCCTACACTGAAATATTTTACTTTCATTTACAAGTTCAGGTTTTTGTTTATGCCGGCTGAAATCTGAACTTTAAATCCTTACAACTCCTTTATTTGTTGTCAGTCGTGCTGTTGAAGATTCTTCTTAATTCCCATTTCTTGTTTTTTATTTGGCTGTTCTCTTCTGCAAAATTAGCTACAGCCAAAAATTAAAAAAAAAGTTTGTAAGCTCAATCATCCAGGTAAATAACAACAAAAAGTGTTGACAAGTCATCTGGACCAGTTTGTTTTAGTGAGAAAGTTTTCGTCCCCCCATCCAGAGGACTTCCTCAGTCTACAGCCTGCCAACCAGATCTGTCCCATAGGTAGTCTTCACTGCTGTGTTTCAAGCCAACCTCCTGTTGGAATCTCAGAAGCAGGCTTTTAACACGTGCAAACAGGGCCCATCAGTTCAAAACAATCACTCATCATGTACAACAATCAAATGTTTTAGGTCAGATGGCCAACTTGCTACTCACAGAAGCAGCTTGAGGACAACCAACAAACTTGAATGAAAGATTTGGCAATTGTTTTACACCCCATGCCTTTCCCGACACAACCTGGGAATAATCTTTCAGCCTTAGGATTACGAGACTGTGGCACTGAACACCGAGCTACTGCAGCACCTTTTAAATGATTCTGTTCAGCAAAGCTTTAGCTGTTGGACATAAGGCTGACTCCAAAGTGGAGTTAATATAGTCATTGCAAGGTGCCCAGGTCTTGTTGACGTAAATATGCACTGCCCAAATCATCAGTCCTCTATCACTATGCTTAAAAGCTGAAGAGTATACATTAATTTGCTGATTTTTTTTTTTTTTTTTTTGCATAACAAAACACTATATTGTGGCCATACATTTCTACTTGAATTTTTTTTTTCCGACTGCTCTCTTCTTCACCACAGCGACTCGAACAAAGACTTGGCAATTGTTTTTACACCGGATGTCCTTCCTGATGCAACAACAGACCACCAAGCTACCACAGCCCTCTGTGTGGAGCAGAGAGCTGGTGCTTGAAAGTTTGTGAATTCTTTATAATTTTCTATATTTCTGCATAAATACGACCTAAACTATCATCAGATTTTCACACAAGTCCTAAAAGTAGATAAAGTTAAACAAATGAGACAAAAATATTATACTTTGTTATTTATTTATTGAGGAAAATGATCGAATATTGTATATTTGTGAGTGGTAAAGTCAAGTGTTTTCAATTAATGTGATGTCGATCAGGTGTGAGTGGGCACCATGTTTGATTTAAAGAACAGGATCTATCAAAGTCTGCTCTTCACAACATGTTTGTGGAAGTGGATCATGGCAGGAACAAAGGAGATTTCTGAGGAGCTCAGAAAAAGTTGTTGATGATCATCAGACTGGAAAAGGTTACAAACCATCTGTAAAGAGTTTGGACTCCACCAATCCACAGACTGTGTACAGATGGAGGAAATTCAAGAGCATTGTTACCTCCCCAGGAGGGGTGGACCAACAAAGATCACTCTAAGAACAAGGTGTGGAATAGTCAACAAGGTCACAAAGGACCCCAGAGTAGCTTCTAAGCACCTGAAGGTCTCTCTCACATTGACTGTAGGATTCCTAGGTTTTCCAGCCACACTCACTCTCTCCACAGCTACAAACCATGTGCAATCAGCCACCACTCCACACCTGCTGCAGATTAATAAGGACTGATCTGCTGAGCATGAAAGCTCCTGCCAGATGTTCTCCCAGTGATGGAACATTGCCTACCAACTGGTAACTAATGGACAGCCAGCTAAATCTGTTTACTAACAGTATTTAACAAACCTTTGTGATTTCCTTTAGCGACGTCCAAGTCCTGACCCTGTATGAGTCTTCCAAGACCACCTCGCTCTTCATGGCCCTCCTTTGGATGGATATTGTCCCTTCAAGCAATTAAACAAGTACCTGAAGTCAACAACGCTCTACCAGGAACAACCTGCTCATCCAGTACTCACCTCCTTTGGAGCTTCAACTCTCTCCCACAGAAAACCTAGGACCTCATCTTCTCTTCCTCTCTGGCTTCATCTAAAAGACATAAAAGTGAGAAGAATGAATCTACTGTTTCTCAACCATCGCTGCAAATCTAATATCATAAAAGATGCTCACATTGTCCCCTTTTCCCTTCCAGCCCTGAAGCTGCTGCACCTGTAAATAAAGTCGCTTACCTTTTGTACTCCTGGCTCTGTCTTCTTCTCAGTCTGCAAACTTGGGATCAACCTTAACTGTAAATGTGATACTAATGTTCATGAGTCCACCATCAGGAGAAACAATGGTGGTCATGGCAGGGTTGAAGGAGAAGCCACTGCTCTCCAAAAAGAACATTGCAGCACGTCTGCAGTTTGTTAATGATCACGTGGACAATCCAGAAGACCGTTGGAAGAATGTTTTGTGGACGGATAAGACCAAAATAGAAAGAATGTCATCTCTCAGACACCGCCCATTATTCTTGCATCTCAAATCTCATGACAATAAACTGTGAAATGGATATTGCATTGCTGCAGCAACCAACTCCAACTACTACCCCTTCCACATCTGGCTGTTTACAGGTTTTCCCTTTTATCCTGTCCTTAGATGTGTATTATCTGTGTTTACATTGATCATCAGAACCTTGCTAAGTTCTTTTGCACCATGTGCTAATTTATTAATGTGTAGGTATATGATATGATATACCATCAAAATTTTGTTGCTATCCATAACTGTTATCATGGCAATGACAATAAGTAAATGAAAAGTGTTATGTTTGGAGAAAGGAAAACTCTGCATTCCTGCATAAGAACCTTATACCATCTGTGAAACATGGTGGTGGTAGTATCATGGTTTGGGCAAGTTTTGCTGCATCTGGGCCAGGACGGTTTGCCATCATTGAACAATGAATTCTGAATTATATCAGAGAATTCTAAGGGAAACTATCAGAACATCTGTCCATGAACTGAATCTCGAGAAGGTGGGTCATGCAGCAAGACAATGACCCAAAGCACACAAGTTGTTCTACCAAAGAATGGTTCAAGAAGAATAAAGTTCATGTTTTGGAACGGCCAAGTTAAAGTCCTGACCTTAATCCACAGTTCACATACTGTTACCACTCACAAATGTGTAATATTGGACAATTTTCCTCAATAAATAAAATATAATTTTGTCTCATTTGTTTAACTGGGTTCTTTATCTACTTTTACGGCTTATGTGAAAATCTGATGTTTTAGGTCACATTTATGCAGAAATTTAGAGAATTTTAAAGGGTTGGTTCACAAACCAGTTTCTGACTTGTCTTTTCATCAGTTTGAGGGGAAATCCTCTGTCACTGTAATTCCAAATTCTCCACTTCTTGATGACTGTCCTCAGTGCGTCATATAAGATTTCTCATGAATATATGTCACATTGAAGATGGAAAATGGTTTGAAATGACTGACTGTGGATTCATTCCATCACAAAAACCTGGTAATTTGACGAGTGTGTGTGGAATTTGTATATCTACAACACGTAGCTGAGAACTGTTTGGCCTGTCTGGCAGGCTATAGTTTCATACTGGCAGCAGAGGATGTTTTGATCCTCCATTTAAAGCTTCATAAAATAAGACCACATTATGATACATGAAATAGTTATGAGTCATATAAGCCGGAAACAAAATTCTAAGGGAGGGAGGAGAGTGGTTTGTGTGCCAAACAGAATTTGAGATGATTACATACGTCTGCACCATTTACCGGTACACTGAACAAAATACAAACACAACACTTGTTTCTGCTCCCATTTCATCATGAACTGAACTCAAAGGTCTAAGACTTTTTCTATGTACTGTATAGAAAAGGCCTTTTTCTCTCAAACATTGTTCACAAATTTGTGTAAATTTGTGTTACTGAGCACAGGTGTGATATATCAAGATGCTGATTAGACGGCATCAATAAAAGGCCACTCTAAAATGTGCAGTTTTATTACACAGCACAATGCCACAGATGTTTCAAGTTCTGAGGGAGCATGCAACTGGTGCTGGCTACAGGAATGTCCATGTTCAGAGAATTTGGCGTTACATCCAACTGTCCTCACTACCTCAGACCATGTGTAACCACCAGCCCCTGTGTTCGTTGTGCATAACATATGACTGCCCATACCATAACCCCACCGCCACCGTAGACCACTCCATTCACAACGTTCACATCAGCAAACCACTCACCCACACAACTCCATCTGCCATATAGGCCTAAGTGAAAGCCATGATTCATCTGTGAAGCGAACACCTCTCCAGCGTGCAATACGCCATCGAATGTGAGCATTCAGGTCTCTCTTGTAAATGAGTCCCCGAGGCTCAGTGGGATTAACCTGCATAAATAAAAGTTGAATGAATTTGCAGCAATATTCATCAATTTAGTGAAAGCTTTTGAATCAGTTAATCATTCCAATTTATTGAAACAACTTGACCATATTAGAATTTGGGGATAGCCACTAACATGGTTCCGTAGTTATCTTTTGAATAGGTCGCAGCAAGTGAAGGTTGATTCTCATACTTCACAATTTCTTTCTGTTATGTCAGGTGTACCCCAAGGCTCCATTCTTGGTCCAACTCTTTTCTCCATATTTATAAATGATATCTCACATATTGTTAGTGAGGCCTCCATTCATATGCCAATGGCACTATTTTATATGCTTTTGGTTCTACTCTGGATGAGGTTGTGAAGTCCCTTGCATGTGGTTTTCTTGAAATCCAGCAGGCATTTCTGACTTAAAGTTGTCCTTAAATGCCACGAAAACTAAAATTATTTGGTTCAGTCATAGAGAAGGAACCACACCCACCTCGGTGGACTTCACCACTGTAACCGGTGATATTATAGAAGAGTTTATAAATATTTGGAAATTTGGATTGATGCTGCTCTATCCTTTTCACATCATGTTAATGTTTTCCAATCTAAGGTTAAGGCAAGACTTGGTTATCTATATATAAATCAGTCTTCATTTACATTGGCTGCAAAACGCACCATTGTTGAAAAAAAACGTTCTACATGTGTTGGATTATGGAGACATAATTTACAGACATGCTCATAAGGGTGTCCTTTGTAAACTGGACACAATTTATCTCTCTGCTATTTTCTTTGTTACAAATCCTCCTTATAGAACACACCATTGTCACCTCTACACACTTGTTAAATGGCCTTCGCTATATACTTGTTGTAAAATTCATTAGTTTACCCTAATTTATAAGACGCTGGGTTATTCACCTCCATATGTAACTAATCTACTGCACCCTAGAGGGCAGCTCTCTGCTCCATGCAGAGGGCTGTGGTAGCTCGGTGGTCTGTGGTTGTGTCAGGAAGGGCATCCAGCGTAAAAATAATTGCCACGTCTTTGTGCAACTTAGTTCGCTGGTGACCCCTGAAGAATGGAGCAGCCAAAAGAAGAAAAAATATATAACTAATCTACTGCAACTAGCATCGATTTTGAAGTATAACACCTCAGTACCTCCTTGTACCTTGTACCTCAGTACAAGTCTAAAGACCAAGTCTCGCGTTTCCTCTGCTGCTCTATCAGACTGGATCTGCTTCAAAAGACTTTTGAGTCTGACCTCACTTGTCTCAGTTTCTAGTTTTAAAAATAGTTTAAAAGCCATTTTTAAAGATACAGTACTTGCAAATGTTTTCATGCTTAGTATTGTTTTTGTTTAACTCTGACAATGAACTGTTGTTAATGTAATTTGTGATTTGCTTGTTAATTACTATATTTCATGGTTTTGTCTAACTGTATTGTTTCCCTTCCGTTGACCCTACAAGCATCTGTTGGTGCTTGCCAGGCCAGCACCAATAAGAATTTATTCTTAGTGTTTATGGTTAAATAAAGGTGAAATGAAATTCTTTGTTTATGCAAATCTCTTTTTCAGCAGCAGGCTGGGTGGTAGGTCTCAGAGGATCTTACAGGTTTAGATGCTGGATGTGGAGGTCCTGGGCTGGTGTGATTACATGTGGTCTGTGGTTGTGAGGCCGGTTGGATGTACTGCCAAATTCTCTGAAACACCTTTGGAGACAGCTTATGATGTGGACGTTCACAGGCAACAGCTCTGGTGGACATTCCTGCAGTCAGCATGCCAGTTGCATGTTGTGGAGTCATGCAAACTGAGGGGGATGGTTCACGTCTAACCCAGGCTCCGCTGACGGGACACAGTTTGTGTCAGCATCAGATGTGTCTTCTTACACTTGGCCCCCCAAATGTAAGGAGACACTGGCTCCTGGGGGAGAAACTGTATCCAACAAGGATCTGCTCTTCCTGTAATGCTGAACCCAAATCTTTAATCCCCTCAACTGTTAAAGACCCTCATCAAGCATCTGAAGGAAAGTGGTTTCAGGTGAGGTGCAAAATAAAAATGTTTACAAATCAGTAAGCACATCCTTGAATTAAAAAAAATATTCACAGTGGTATAAAAAAGGTGAGAATTGTCCAAAATGAGATGGTTTTTTTTATCCTCTAAAATAGCTGGCATTCCTTGCCTTACTTTCTTTCCCGAAAATACTTCCTCTCCCTCCCTTCATCTTTCCTCCCATCCCCCTTCTTTCTTTTACTTCTCCTCTCCTCCCTGTTTTCCACCTTCCCTCCTTGCGTCCCCTTTCAGATTGTATAAATATCTGGGAGCTCTTAGGGAGAGCTCAGTGTTGCAAAGCCATTCCAAGCACAGAACAAGACAAGAAGAGGAGACGAGCACAAGTGACAGCTGCAGGACAACAAGAGATTATTCAAGAAGAAGACACAAAAATAGGATCTCACCTGGAATTGGGAATAAAAGGATTGCTCTGCACAAATACAGAAAGCTGAGCAGATCAAAACGATTAAAAGAATTTTAGAATAACCGAGGACCGTCCTAAACATGCTCTTCATTCTGTCTCTGTGCATGTTTGGTCTTGTGATGCAAGGTGATGCCCAGGACCGAGCCGCTCTGTGGAGGGGAAACGATCGCAGCGGGCGATGCCAGTACACCTTCACTGTGCCCAGCCCCACTGAGGTCAGCTGCCCACAGGTCGCACCCCCAGAAGTGGAGAGCCTGAAGGCAAGACTAAGTGTGCTGGAGGCACTGGTGTCCCAGCTTCAGTCACCACCAGGAGCCCACCGGGGCACCGGGGTCAGGAGTCACTCTGAGCTTCAGGAAGCGTTGAACCAAGTCATGGGTGAGAGGAACCTGCTGCAGGGGGAGAAGGAGCGTATGGAGAGGGCGCTGGAGGGGCTTCAGCGCAGAATGGAGGAGATGAAGAGGGAGACAGAGAGGCTGAGGAACAGACCGTGTCCCCCTCACACCCCCATGGTCCAAACCAGCTCCTCTCAGCAGGACAGGAACCCCATCAGACCTGCTGCTGGTGAGAAGTATTCCTCACACTTTCTGTAACAAAAGCCACAAAAAACCTAAATAACATGAATACAAGAGATTCCTGCCTACAAAAGTAGTTTAATTTTGTGAATTTTATTTTTTTTTAAATATTATTTTAATGCATTACATTTAGTCTTTTCTGATAATAAATGTATTTCACAATTTTCACCTGAACGTTTTCTGAAGTGGGAGCTTTTTAAAAATATGTAAAAACGGCTCAGTCGTCCTGTGCTTGTGTCTAATTCTTATTTAGTTAGAAACTTCCAATTTCCTTTAAAATCACGCAATTTTTAGCACACTGAAGAGAAATTATACTGTTTTAATGATAAACATGTTTTTGCGTGTGTGTTTTTGCACAGTAATGTTTTGGTTGTTCCATTTGCCTGCTGGGACGCTCAGATCTGGTTTCCTTGCTCCTTCACTTCATGCCTTGCTTTTAGAAACCCTGGAGACAGGCCAGGGAGGATTGACTTGTTATTTATGGGCAGAACCTGATGTCTTTATGGTGGGTGTTTCCCTCAGCATGGGGAGTAATGTGTGCAAAAAGGCCTGGGTGGAGGGAAAACACTGGAAGCAGGGGGTTATACGGTGATGAAGCAGCTCTGAAAGCAGCACCGGTGTTCTGTTTGTCTGTTGCCTCCATCTTTTTACTTCCCTCTTCCATTCCTCTCTCATTTTTCAATGAAGCGTCTCTCCGTTTACCCACCTGGAACTCAGCATCATTTACTTTTTAACACCGAGGCTTCCAGGAGCAGTAAATCTTCTCCCCACTCCCGTTGCTTCAGGAGGAATATACTACTGCATCCTCTGTGCGCTGCTGATCTCCTCGTGTTTTCACCTGCAGACTAAAATACATGGAGAGGGCCCCTCAGGGTGAATGGCAGATGTTCAATAGATCAGACTCATGAAAACATTGCAGAAAGAGAAGAGAGAGACAGAGAAATATGAATCAAACTACAAGTTTGTTAGCAAAAGTTGAACTCAGATAAGATATTTTTTCATTGCTTACAGTCAGCGGTGAAGCTTCTGGAATATCTACCATTTAAAATATATGAGTTGATGTTCTGTAAGTTCTAATAGTATTTGTCGACTTTTAAAATTGTCATTTACATAAACTTCATGCATGACTTACAACAAAAACCAGCAGGGCACATCATGCAGATGACATCAGCATCTTTGAAATCTGAGGGAAGTAAATGAAATATAAATTAGGAGGATAAACAGTTTCAGCGCTGCCTGGGAGAACTATCTGTTCACACTCTGTTCAGGCTTGGGCTTCTTTACAACGAAGGACAGAAACAGCAGAGCAGCAGCTTTAGAAGACATTTTGACAAAACATGTATTCGATGTATGGTCGATTGTAGCAGTGTTTTTAAAATTTATATTTTTATTCATTTTTTTAGAGGTGTTTTGTGGGAAAATAACAACTGATATTGTAGCAGTTGCAGACAGCTACAACCTCAGTGTGGACAGACTGGAATGAACTGACAAGTTAATGGCTAGTCCCAATGCAGCCAAGGCCAAAGTGAATCACTGGTCTTACTATTACCAAACTTTCAAATCAATTTTTGCAAACTCTATCTTACAAACTTTTACACCACCCTCAGTTTCTTATTGCATGTTCCTTTACACAAATTATATTATTTGCAAGGAGCATTCATACCTTAAGGATTAGCTAACATTTGAACGCCTTTAAAGCAAGTTTGAAAGCAGTTAATGCAAAGGCTTAAACTAAAACCCTTACACTGCTGCTAATTTCACTTTTTTAAATTTTGGTAGAAATATTATACATTTCCTGTTGAATTTGAGTCCATGCTGCACCAAAAGTGTTAGCTCTTGCTTTTAGCACTTGCTAAACCTATAGAATTACATATATAAAAATTAACCATGTGTTGAGAAACTGATGGAGGTGTAAGAGTTTATTAAATAGTGTTTGCATCAACCGCTATAAAACGTCCAGAGTAGTTTTAAGATAGCAGCAATCCACTTTTGGCATTGGCCACCCTCATACTTGTCATCAGGTAAGATGTTATTTATTCTGTTCATGATTACTTTACAGAACACCACTTCAAATATTGTTGTTTTTGAAGCCAGCAAGTGATGCAACTGCAGATATTTCTTATAAGGTGAGAAAAGGTTCAAGGTTCAAGGTAAAAAGGTTCTTTATTGTCATTCACATCACATGTGGTACATGAGGTGGAATGAAATGATGTACTCAAGATCTCAGTTATACCCCAAAATAGCAAAAATATTAAGCATAATAAAAGAAAGTATACTGTAAAGGATCTAAGATATACGCTACAACAATAATAATATAATAGAATATGATGTATTAAACAGCAGCCAGAACATGAGTCTGTTGTGAGCAAATGGGTATGAATACAGCAGCTTATGGGTAAGAAATCAGCAGCATGGGTAATCAGCAGCATGGGTAAGTGTTAAATCACCAATTAAAGTGGAATTGCAGTGATTATCCTGGTTAGAGATTCATGAGTCTAACAGCCTCAGGGTAGAAGCTGTTCCTCAGTCTAGTGGTTCTACACTTAATGCTCCTTAACCTCCTGGCTGAGGGGAGCAAGGCAAAAAGTGTGTGTGCTGGGTGAGTGGGGTCCTTCATGATGCAGGTGGCCCTTTTCCTGCATCTAGAGGTGTACATGTCTGTGATGATGGGGAAACTGACTCCGACAGACTTCTGTGCAGCCTTCACCACTCTCTGCAAAGCTTTTCTTTCTGCAGCTGTGCAGCCTCCATGCCACACGTTGATGCTGGAGCACAGGATACTCTCCACTGCACACCTGTAGAAGGAGGTGAGGACTGAGGTGAGCTTCCCAGTCCAGCTCGTCTCAGCCACCTGAGGAAGTAGAGTCGCAGAAAAAGCCAGAAAACAACAAACACATTGAATTCACAATTTCTAAAATAAACAACTTTTTAAATCTTAACAGTATGAAAATAAACAACCTGATAAAAGTAGGTTTGACTGGAACAAATGGTGCGGTCTCTTACCACAACACCATCACTGGGAATTTAGTGCGAGTCAACATTTTGCTCTGACATCCTAAACAAAAAGGCCCAAATCATGGACGGCAGCAGCAGACTGTGGCTGCACGCTCAGAAAGATGAGGGGAACAGCTCCTTGCAACACTTTAGAAACCTCTGTTCTACAAGACTTGAGCCTTCTCAAATTCTTTTTTTAACAACACCTGTTTATCATCTGTCTCATTACTCCCTCCTGCTCCTCTTATTTACCTCTGTGAATCAACATCAGCTTCCAGATGCTGATGGTTAATGTTCTCTGCATCATTAAGGCTCATTTGTCTGTCTGGAACTGCTGAATGCTGCACGCAACATCCATGTATGACGAAAACTGTCATTCACGAACACAGATTAACAATCAGCGTTCATAAACAAACAAGAACATATTTAGGCAGCTCATCTGTTTTTTACTTAGTAAACATCACAGTGTTTATAGCATCATGTTAAAATTGTAGTTTACAGTTTATCAGATGTTTGACGGGGATTGTTTTTCACTGTGATGACTTTATGCAGTCACCAAACAAAATAAAAACGATTGAAGAGAAGAGAGATATCTGACGGTGATTGGGACTTGTTTGGAGTTTTGAAGTTGGCTGCTGATGGTGGTCAGGAGTGTGTTTGAGTGTGTATGTTATGGTCAGTCAGTCTTCAGACTGTCTGACTCCAGAGCAGCTGAGAATTCATTTAGGAGTGTTTGATCCCTGCGGCCACATTTCCTGCTGTCAAGACACGTTTGGGTGCACAAACCCATCCCAAACTATTGTAGGTGCTGGAAAAAAATCTCTTGTTCTCTGATGTTTACTCAAAAGAACCACAACTTACAGCAGGTGAAGTTTTATACCTAAGGGCAGAAACTTGTACCATCAGAAACCGAATTTGAATTGCTCAGACTGAATCTGTATTCGTGTCATTTGAAATCAAATCCAATGGATTGAAAATTAATTTCACTAAATTGAAACTGAATTTAATGGTTTGAACCTGAATTCATTTGCTTTGAAACTGTATTTAATTGTATTGAAAATTCAGATAGACTACTTTCATTTTCAGTTCTATAATTCAATTTCAATTCCAAAATTCAGTTTTTTGTTTCACACATGCGGCTCCTTGAGAAAGCTACAGAGTAATCGGACACAGATCGACAGATTTACGTTTCACGTCAGTGGAACTTCCTTTATGGAAAAGTAGGCACGGGGTTGAGTCTCAAAGAGGCGGTGATGCAACAGAGTAGATGCAACCCACCAAAGAAGAAGAACTTCCTTTACAGCATGCTTTGAGCTGGAGCAGTGGCGCGCACATGAACATGAACTCATGTGTGCCACTGTTCCAGCTCAAAATACACTGTAAAGGAAGTTTCACTAACGTGAAATGTGAAACATCAATCTGTCAATCTGTGTTCGATTACTCCGAGGCTTTCTCAAGGACCCGGATGTGTGACTCAAAAAACTGAATTTTGGAATTCAAATTGAATTGTAGACCTGAAAATGAAAGTAGTCAAATTGAATTTTTAATACAGTAGTCCCTCAATTATCGCAGGGGTTACGTTCCAGACACCCCCAAAATAGGTGAAAAACCACAAAGTAGGAACGCTATATTTATGTTAGTGTTTATAGGCTTTATAAACCCTTCCCACACTCTTGCAATGTTATAAACACTTACACCTACCTTATTTTAACAACATAAGTACATATATACAGTACTGCAAAATTTTTGTATGGGTGCTCCCCAGCTTTGCAGACCAGCAGCTCAGTTCTGGTCGGGCTCAGTTCCAGTATGGCAGACTTACCCTGCAGCGACAAAGACTACCGCCCCATCCAGGTTGATGTGCATGTGGATAATTCAGCTTCAGGATTATTTGCAACTTTCCTGCCAGTTCTGTGAGCTTAATTGATACTATGATAAGTACTCATAAGTACTTCTGACTTTGTGTTCCATCCATTTTGGTAGAAAGCAGCATCCAGAAGCACTGTTGGCTTCTGGGTAGTGTAGTTCTTTTGACTTGCTTATTGAAAGAAAACTTCAAAATTGCGGCACCTGTTCGAAGTATTTTTTTCATAAACTTTTTATCCCGAATAATCCCAATCACGTGAGTAATATTAAAGTTAACAATCATGTGTTGTGTACAATCTTACATTGAAAAACCACGAAAGAGCGAGTCTGCGAAAGTTAAACTACGAAGTAGCGAGAAACTTCTGTACAACAAAATACAGTTTCAAAGCAAATTAATTCAGTTTCAAACCATTCATCCATCCATTATCTTTTACCTGCTTCTTCCATTTTGGATCACGGGGGTCGCTGGTGCCCATGTCCAGCAATCACTGTGCGAGGGGCGGGGTACACCCTGGACGGGTCACAAGTCCATCACAGGGACACAGAGACAAACAAGACAAACAACCATTCACTCTCTCACTCACACCTAGGGACAATTTAGAGTTACCAATCAGCCTAACATGCATGTTTTTGGTCTGTGGGAGGAAACCGGAGTACACGGAGAAAACCCATGCATGCACTGAGAGAACATGCAAACTCCACCCAGAAAGGCCCCTGGACCGGGGTTTGAACCAGGGACCTGCTCACTGAGAGGCAGCAGCTCTACCAGTTGTGCCACTGTACAGCCCAGTTTCAAACCATTAAATTCATTTTTAATTTTGTGAAATTTTTTTTCAAACCAATAGATTTAATTTCAAATTATGCAACTACGGTTTGAGCAATTCAAATTCAGTTTGTGATGGCACCAGTTTCTGCTCATATATACAGTACATCACATTTTACTTGCAAGGTTGGATTTCAGAGCAGGCTACATACATAAATATGCATAAATGTATACACATGAAGACCAGTCACAGAAATGAGCCTCGTTATCTGCTCGTTTTTATATCCTTGTCAGCTCAGTCAAGTTCACCATCGTTCAGGGGGTGTCCTTGAAGCCAGCTGCAGTGTTCTTACACACAGCACTCTGACATATGGTTCATGGGCATGTAAGAGAAATTCTTCAGTTCGAGATAAGAGAGTGTTTTCGGAGATGGTTCAACTGTTTTGGGAGACAATAGAGCTCCTTGTTCTTAGGGCAGAGGGGAAACATGTTCTCAGTCACAATAATCAGAATCAGAAGAATCAGAATAAACTTTATTGGCATTGCACCGAGATACAACGCGAATATGTACGTAGAGTCGTCTGAAGATGGGCGGAGTGCACGAAGCTGCGGCTAAAATAATCAGCGCGGCCTTCTTATTCTTATTCAGAATAATATTTTGCTTAGATAAGAAAAGGAAAGAGAGGAGAGACGGTATAAAAAAAAGATCTCTCACACCGTGTCCTAGACAGGGCACAATTTGAGGCATCAAAAAAACTACCACAGCAAAGCAACATAAACAGACATTATACATTTACATATAGGCGGTGAAAACATTGAATTTTTAAGGGAAAGTCGTAGCATAGTCCAGAGCCCCCCCTCAGCCATTGTCCAGGTAAGAGGTGACGTTCATCTTCAGCTCAGTTGAGATTCTGTTACATGTCCACGGCCTTGGGGAAGGGAGGGGTGAGGAAACAGTCAATGCATCTTAGTTAATTTCCAAACATTCCAGGAGGAGTTGAGATAAGTCCGGCATCAAGGCCACAGTTTGGGTCAGGCAGAACTCGTAATTGTTGTTTCTGCCTTTTAAAGTCTCGCTGGTACATATTCTCTGATGGAAACTCCAAAACAGCCGAATTGATCCTTTACTCCAAAAGTCGAGCTCACAGCTTCTCCAGATTATTCCACCATTCATGAGTGCTGCCAGGGAGATCACAGTCCTGATACAGCTGCTCCAATTCCCTGTCACAGCTCCACATTCAGTCCAAGCACTGTCAAGCTTCAACACCTCCACAAGAATTTGTAGACAACCAGATTCCACCAACCCAAACAGTAGAATCTAGTCGTCATCATGAATCCAATTTGTTCCTTAAAGAGGTCAGAGGGTCCTCCTTACCCTGACTCCTGTCTGGAGAAGTTGATCAATCTTGTTGAGAGACCAGCTGATCCTTCCAATTAAGAGGTATGCAGGAAAAAAAAAAGAGAGGCTTTTTTTAAGGGTTCACAGGACAAAAGAGCACAGCAAGGAAGCGGGGGGGGGGGGGGGGGG